GGGGGGGGCAAGATTTTTTAGGAAAAAAAAAAATTCATAATTAGGAACCAAAAATCGCGGCACAGGCGAAAATTTTTTTTGACTTAAAAGACTCAAAAAGAGTGAAAATTAATGACAAAAGACTAAAAAACTAGATTTTTAACTTTTCACACATTATAGTTTATCAAGACAGATATTTTTCCTGTTTTGCACTAGGGTTTCTTTCCCAATTAACCATGCTATTATAGAAGCTATTCTGAAAATAGGAACAAAAAATTCCAAATTCAGGGGGGGGCGAATTCCTCCGCCTCCCCCCCTGTATCCGCCCCTGACTAGAATAGATTTCTTGTTTTATTTCATATCAGATGTGTTGACTTACTGAATATCAGGTTGGAAAGGTTAGTTTTTTATTGTTTAAGTATAACACACATTTTTCTTGCCCCCCCCTAAAAATGTTTAGGGGGGGGCCAAAAAAATTTTCGCGCTCCGCGCGAAATATTTCCCCCTAGCCCCCCTCTAAAGAAATGTCTAGTTGCGCGCCTGCTGAGCTTTACAGTTAACCTAAAATAAAGGTGTACAGTTTTGTAGCGAGTTATCAATAGTCGTGTGGCCGCAGTGCCACGGCCCCCTAGCAGCATCCTTCGGCTTAGAAATTGTCTTAACCTAACCTTACCAAAAATAATAATAATTTTGCTGAAAGCATGTGCAAAATTGATAGGGAGGGGGGTCCAAAAATCGTTCTCTAGGACCGACCCTTTAATCTTTATATCAAATGTGTAAAGACGTAGGATAAAAGGTTGAGCATCCTGCTTTTCCCTGCCACGCGCATTGAAATGTTCATGCATTCGACCTACAAAAATTGAGCATCTAAGCTACAAAATTACTAGGCTTTATAATAATAAGTACTTGTCTAAAAGGATTGTAGTCTAACTGAACTTAGTTCTATCGACATAACACCAAAAGGAAAGGTTTCTCAAATCGTCTTCCAAATATTTGAATTTTTATAAGCGCGGCAAATGCGTTAAATGCTAATTGATTGATTGCTAAAGTTCTAATTGGTTCATTGCTTTGCTGTGCTCTACAGACTACAACAACGCTTTGCTGTATGTAGTTTAGCCGGCGACTGGAACGTTTTTACACCTATCGTCTTTAATCCGATGTATATCCATGTGTTATTAGTGCTTAAAAGTAATAACACTTTCTGCAAATAATGTTGTTCCTGTCCGCCTGGGCCTATCGGCATAATGGCTTAAAGTCCGTGAGGGGGAACGATTAACGACGTCTTTATCGTTAGATTTATTTTTGTCTTATGAGACACAATCACATGTTAAAACCATTCAATTTCTTCGAAAAAATATAGATTTTGAAGTAGTTATTTAAAAAACTTGAGAATGACGATTTTGACTACGAACCAACCACTGGCTCCGTGCTAGTCTTCTAGGGGACCTAGCACCGCGGCTTCCTGCAAAGATTTATTTTGCCCGTCCTAGTATACGATTTTTGGACCCACCCTCCTTTCAATTTTTTACATGACCTTTAATTTAAAGTTATTTTGTATTATTTAGGGTTAGAATAGGTTAAGACAATTTCTGGGCCGAGCGCTGCGGCCACGGGTTAGGTTAGTGAAGTTACTTTCTGGGCCGAGCGCTGCGGCTAGGACAGGCTAGGGGGCCGAGCGCTGCGGCCACGGGTTAGGTTAAATTAAGACACTTTCTGTAAGATTCATGTACAAAATTGATAGGAGGGGGTTGGGTCCAAAAATCGTTCTCTAGGAAATTACCCATTTATTCCCCGACGTGCCGATGTCGAACAAAAGTCTAGAATTATTTACTCGACATCTTCGCCATCAGCACATAGACTCGGTTGAAATGTTTCCTGGGCTAGAACAGGTCGGTCTCTGTCGCTACATGTGAAACTTCAGCCTTTAAACTTTTAATAATTCATTTACGCTCTCTAATTACCGAACCACTTTAAACCCCGAAATGCTAGTGTGACGTTCAAAAGCGCCTGGGTTGTGTGGCACTTCTTCATATTTCCCTGACAGTATTAAATAATAAAGTAAGTTTAGAAACACCTGCTGAAGAATGAACGTAAACTATAGGCCAATTTCTCAGTCGAGTTACCCTAGCTGGGTAAATTCGAATTTACTCTAGAGTTATCCCTAGTTCTATATTCTTGGACCCACAACACCCTGGGTTACGATCGATAATTACCCATGGGTTGAGAAAACTCAGGGCAGGGTTATAAGACTTACCCAGGGTAGAATGCGCTAACAGAGACCAGAAAATAAATAAATAATGATTGCATAGTTTAGAAAAGCGAAATAATATATATATGATAAAAGATAACAAAATGATTTCACTTTAAAAAATTGAGTTTTTAAGCAGGGAATTTTTCTTGTTCATCCATTATTTCTTAACAAAATTGATGCCTGAAAAAACTTTATATTTTTTTGTTTATCATGATTTTAAAAAATACTTTATTCTTATTGTTTCTTTTAGTTTTTATTAAAATTCAAAAAAAAGATTTTTTATTTTTTCATTTTATTATTAGTCCAATAAGCAATGACTACTTTTAAACCCAGGACATATTTGTTGACGTTATTTTATACACATGCGCAATAAGCAAGTTTTATGTATTTACCCTGGGATTTAAGGAGGAGGATTTAAGTAAGGGGGGGGGGGCAAGTTTTTTAGGAACAAAAATTCATAAATAGAAACAAAAAATCGCGCCGTAGGCGAAAATTTTTTTGACTTAAAGGACTCAAAAGAGTCAAAATTAATGACTAAAGACTAAAAAACTAGATTTTTAACTTTTCACACATTATAGTTTATTAAGACAGATATTTTTCCTGTTTTGCACTAGGGTTTCTTTCCCTTAAGCATGCTATTGAGAAGCTATTCTGAAAATAAGAACAAAAAATTCCAAATTCGGGGGGGGGGGCGAATTTCCACCCGCCCCCCCCCTGTATCCGCCACTGTGCCTATGAAAGGAAAGTTTGTACATCAATTCACAAAGCTTGTTATGAATTCTATCCTTATTTTGGAAAGAAAAGGGCCCTGTGAGGAATGTTTAATAACACTAGGAAACATTTCAGAGTAAATGAATTTAAATTAAGAAGATATGGCAGGAGTGGGTTCGGTTCCTCCGAAGAGGAAGGAGATATACAAGTATGAGGCACCATGGACCGTTTTTAGCATGAACTGGTCTGTCAGACCTGACAAGAGATTTAGATTGGCTTTAGGAAGCTTTGTTGAGGAGTATAACAATAAAGTACAGGTACAAGCGGTCGAATTACTAATTATCACATTTAAAGATTTTTTTTCAATTCTTTACAACGATCTTACCTCTAGATTGTGTCTCTGGACGAAGAAACTTCTGAGTTCTCAGCCAAGAGTACATTCGACCATCCGTACCCGACCACGAAGATAATGTGGATACCGGACAGTAAGGGTATCTACCCTGACTTGTTGGCAACAAGCGGTGATTATCTTAGGGTTTGGAAAGCAGGAGAACCAGAGACTCGATTGGAATGTCTTCTAAATAATAACAAAAACTCTGATTTCTGTGCTCCACTTACATCCTTCGATTGGAACGAGGTTGATCCAAACCTTTTGGGGACATCTTCAATTGATACAACCTGCACTGTTTGGGGATTAGAAACGGATCAGGTATGATTATTGATTAGATCGGTACGCAAACACCAATTTTAAATTAGCCATGCAAGCTGTACCAGCCTAGCTTTCTCAGCTTGGTATAATTGAGTGGGCTAGATTGGCGGCGCTTAATAATCAATTTCGCGTTATTATTAATGGCCCAAGTGATATTGGTAACTAAAATTTTAAAAAGACTAATCCAGTACGTTGATTTTTTTATTGGAAAAAAGAGAATCAGCGAGCCAGCACGTTTGATGCGGTCTTGGATCTGAATCCGGATCCATTCTATGATATTTCTTAATGTTTTGTTAATTTCTTTCACATTTTTGAAATTCGCCTTTTTATCAAATCTGTATGCTGAAACTTGATATACCGATCAGAGATCAGGAAGATTATATAAGATTTTAATAATTGACACTGCTGTGAGCGAACTATCATTTTGTTTATTTTTTAAACTTCATTACTTAAATGTTTCAACAAAATTCCTTTGTTTTATTTCTGTTATCAATTAATATTACAACGTTCGGTCTTTGGAAGTAATAACTTATTATCGTATTATTCTATTAACCCTTTTTGAAACTTTAATGATTAGATGTTGGGTCGGGTCACGATGGTTTCTGGTCATGTGAAGACACAGTTGATAGCTCACGATAAAGAAGTTTACGACATAGCTTTCAGTAAGGCTGGCGGAGGTCGTGACATGTTTGCATCTGTTGGTGCAGACGGCTCCGTTCGAATGTTTGATCTGAGGCATTTAGAGCACTCCACGATAATCTACGAGGATCCGTCTCATACTCCTCTACTACGCCTCTCCTGGAATAAGCAGGATCCAAACTATTTGGCTACTGTTGCGATGGATGCATGTGAGGTCATTATTCTGGACGTGAGGGTACCATGTACACCAGTTGCTAGGTATAATTTTGCCCGTGTACAGAAATTTAATTACCCTGCTAACTCGAAAACCTAAAAATACTAAAGCCCCTTTATACATATACGTAATACATATATTTACGCAATACGTATAAATATGTATGTTCAACTTTTTGGTAAAGAACTTTCAATTTATTTACGTATTTATCATTTCAAGTGTTTTAAGTGCTTAGATTTTACAGATAAATATTTTTACTAATAATTTCATATATCTTTTTACTACGTAATTTTTCGAACTATAAAGATTTTATTTTACGTATTTTCAAGTTTTTTCTTCGTATTTTTCCTTTTATTAAAAAGGTTTTTTTTTCAATAAATAGGTAAATTTCATAGTGTCTAGGTTTTAAACCTTTATTTTTACCGTACATAAATATGTAAATTTCATAAAAAGTAATTTTTCTCTAGTATTCCTATCTATACCTTCAATTTAGAAGAAAAAAAGATTTCTTTTTCCTTGAGGCTAGAATTTTCAAATATTTGATATTTTTAATACAAATGACATATGTCATTGGTCATTAAAATATGTATTAAAAAATCCGAGGTTTATCAAACTATGGTAATATATCGTAAAAGTTTCTGCATTTACATATATTTACGAGCTGAAACCCCTAAATTTCTGATTATTAGGTTTTTTATATATGCATTTTCAAGTTTTTCATATACGTATGTTTACAATTTTACAATGTTACAAATTTTTTGACAATCCCACCATTCTTGACTGACGAGGATATAAAATATATCGAAATTAATTTCCAAACCCGAGTTTTTCTACCTGTTAGAGTAAAACCTTTTTTTACCAGTTTGGACAATTTACATTTACGTATTTTTACGGATTCAAAATGCGTGTTTTACTAACGAAATGGTTACGAAAATATGTTTTATATCATACGTATGGTAATATCTACTCTTATTGAAAAATACGTTTAAACAGGTATGACTACGTATTTCTGGGTTTTCAGATTAGTAAGGAATTTGATCTGTATATTGTTACGAAAATAAGACTATATTCTTAATTTTATTAGATTGAACAACCACCGCGCATGCGTTAATGGTATTGCCTGGGCACCACACTCATCCTGTCATATTTGCACAGCTGGAGACGATCACCAGGGAAACATATAATATTAGAAAAACTACTTGCCCCTCAAATTGTAAATATTTATTGAGAACTGTGACCTCTTATGCCCCCTGAAAACATATGGGGGGGAGGGAGCACAAGAGCTTTGCTTTTTGTCTGAATGCCATAAAATTATATTACCAAATTTCAGAGGTGTATACTCCCCTCCACCGACCCCATAATTTTTACATTATTTCAAAAGCTTAAAATATTAGTGTTATATATAAAGAAGTGTCCTCTTTTTATTCTTTGGCGCAGCAGTGCTATTGAGAAGCTATTCTGAACCACCGACCCCATAATTTTTACATTATTTCAAAAGCTTAAAATATTAGTGTTATATATAAAGAAGTGTCCTCTTTTTATTCTTTGGCGCAGCAGTTAAAAAATGTGCACTTCAAATTTTGATAATCACTTTAAGATTATCATTTGATTGGCAGAAAAATTTTTATCTTGAAATTTAGTGCTCTTTTGAATAAACAACTTTTAGTGTTATGAAGGTAAGTTATAGGCTAAAATTTGTAATACTTCTCGCACGCTGCGCTGCATTTTTACATTTGGGAGAAAAGAATTATTTTGTTGTGGTTGATTATTTAATAGAGGTAAAGAGCTTACTTATCCATTCCTTTCCGTTCTGCTACCCTTCCTCTTCCCATCGCCTCTTCTCGTAGAAGAGGAAATAAATTTAAAAACCCGTGCTAACTTGCTAAAATTATATATTTTCTGGGAACTTAGGCTCTCATCTGGGATATTCAACAGATGCCTAGAGCAATCGAGGATCCTATCCTTGCATATACGGCTGCAGAGGGAGAAATAAATCAGATTCAGTGGGGGGTTACCCAACCTGATTGGATAGGTAAATATTTGTTTTGGTAAATATTTAGAAGGATGTTTTCTGTTCGGCGTTTGGCCATTTTTCCACTGAGGTAAATCTAGAGCCATACAAAATAACTTTGTAGTGGACTGCTTTTCTATATCTGGGGTTGCAGTCCGTGGGTAAAAATTATTTATCCAACTGGTGTTTCGCGGTGTTCATACTTGTCTCTATTTGGTCTATTTTTTTAAGTATTTTGGTTACGCTTAATACTATTTTCCAGGGGTACATTTTAATTTTGTTTGATTTCTTCACCTCACCACAAAAAAAGTTTATTTCTCGTACCTGTTTAGAAGGTCGAATGATCGTTTGAAGGGGCTCTAATAGTGGGGTTTCAGATGGGTGTAGCTCTGTCCCCCCCCCCCTTTTAGTAAAATACGACTTTTTTACAGTTTATTAATCTAACCTCATTAATTGCACTTGAACAACCTATGAAAAAATATGACAGGATGACCCAGAAGGTGACTACTGGCTGCTAGCGCGTCGATTAGAGTTGTCTTACAAAAGATTTTTCCCAGGAAATGAACTCCTCGTTCCCAATGATTAATAAAATTTCATTGGATTGTACTATTTATTGCATACATGATGTTTATTTACTCTACTTGGTTTTTTTAAGTTTTGAATCAAGCGCCCCACTGTTAGGGACATTGTAGAAACACCTTTCAGATCTTCCAGTCTGGTACATTCATTCTTTCATTCAGTTTCCTTCTTTTTAATCCTCAGAGTGGCGGAGTTTCCACTGTGTGTATTAACTTTTAAAGGAGCAAACCTACTGTGCATTTTTTATTTTTTTTTGGCAGGTTGTTTCATTGTTGAACTACACGATTAGAGAAAAATCTTCTTCTCAACTCTGTATTGGATAGTGTACTTATAATGTTCAAGGGATCCACTGAAAGCAGTGTTACTCTCTCTCCGCTTCTCCTACAAACTCAAACCAAACTCTTCTGTCAACCTTATCAATCTCTCGTACAATTTTGTAAGTCTGGACCGTGTCAAACTGAATCCACCTGTCCTTCAGACTAAGCATTCGCAGTTCTTTCAACCTTTCTTCATAATTATTGCTGTATAGTCCGGAGATCATGGTGACAGCTCTTTTATGTACATTTTCTAGCACCAAAATACAACATGGGGTCTAATCTAAGTTGTGAACAGGTTTAAGAAGGTTTTACTGTCTCTGTAATAAAAGGAGCGTGCAATTTGGGTCAAAAGACCATTTGCTTCTCTGGCTGCTTCCTTACACTAGAGAGATGGCTTAAGGGATTTATTGATCATTACCCAATATCTCTTTCTTTTTCTGTTTTAGATAGGACCTGGTTTTTCATTAAGTAGTTTGTTTCAGAATTTCCTCTTCCCACATGTTTAACCTTGCATTTATCAGTGTTAAAACTCATCCTCCATGGATCTGCCCAACTGGACAGATTATTGTTTTTCACGATCTTCAGGGCAACTTATATATATACAGGGTGAGTCAAAAAAAGTGATTTGCGGGGCCTTGTGCAAAATCAAACCTTTTTTTGTGCAACTCTCCTGTATGGTGTTTTTTCAATATTTTTTGAAAATTTGTAATTTTTTTTGGTACTTCAATTGCCCAAAAGAAAATCCGCGAACCTTTTTTTTTCTCTCAAAATCAAAAGTTCAGAAAAGCAAAAATGTGAATATAAATTATTTCTATCGAAATCTAAAATATTTTAAAAATTGAATAAATGAATCCCAGAAAATTCGCAAAGTTGTAATAAGAAAATTCGCTATTTTTAGTTCTGGTCAAATTTTTAATGAAAAGTCATTTAAATTCTTTAGTTCCTTTCTTCTTAGTATATTCTAAAGTATTAAATATACGCTGTTCAGTTGAAACCTTAAGAACCATTGAAGAACCATTTTTCCGTAAAAATTATACCTAAACTTATAAATTGCGAATTTTCTAATTACAATTTTGCAAATTTTCTAAGATTCTGTGATTCAATCTTTTTAAAATTTTAGATTTTGATAGAAACATTTTT